TTTCCCTTCTTCATTCCCAATGATGACCTCACTTCCTATTTCACTATGAAAACTGAATCAAAACGAGAACGTCCACCATCTCCCACCAGCACATCTGTCCACCAACCCACATCTGTGTGTTCCCTTCCCTCCTGTCCCATGAATAAATTGCCTTTGCTTATTGCGAAGGTCAGTTCTCTACTGTATACTTGATCCCACTAACCCTTCTCCATTCAGAAACATACTCCTGCAATTATCTCTCCTGAATCTTCAAAGTCTTTCCTGCTGCATCAATCCCATGAACAGAGGAATGTTTTATTCTTCCAGCAACAAAATATTCACTCTCCTTCAACCTGAGTTCCCCTTCTCCTCCCATTCCATTTCTTGCCTTCTCATTGGAGGAAATTCCTTGAAAGAGTTATCTAATCACTTTATCTGCACATTTTCTCCTGCTCACACTTGCATCAAGTTTCATTCCTTTACCTCCACTGAATTGCCTCAATTCTCAGTTTTCATTTTACTTGCCCTCTTAATAGGTGGGGACAGTTCATCACTCTCACTGCCTGAGACACTTTCTTCACATTGCTTCCAGAGCGTATTACTGTCTAGGCTCCCTTCCTATCTTCCTGAGTGCTTCTCCTCATTTTCCATTGCTATTTCCTTATAAGCTTGGTGTATGCCAGGGCTCAGACTTTGAATCTCTCCTCTCTTTACCGACTCTTACTTCTGAGATAATTGCATTCTCACTTCTGAGATAATTGCATTCAGTCTCTTGACTTTGAATAACACTATATACTGATTACTCCCAAAGTTCTATTTCCAATCACAACCTCTCCTTCAGTGTGCAGGCTAATACCTACAACTGCTCTTCATCATCTCTAACTGGACATCTACTAGGCATCTAGCATGTAGCAGGTCCAAACTGGAGCTCCAAATTCTCCCTGCCAAACCTGCCTCAACTCTGCCTGGTGCTCAAACCAAATATACTGGAGTTATTCTTTCATGTATATCCTACCTCAGTCCATAAGCAAATCCTGTCAGTGCTTCCTTCAAAACATATCTGAGGGGCCAGCAGGCAGCATAATGACTAAGGTGTTGGACTTCCACGTGGTCAACTGTAGTTCAAGTCCCGTACCTGGCAGCTTGAAACTCATGCCATGTGCATGTATGTGCCTGCCCAAAATCCCAAGAGGAGAACAGAGGAGAAGGGATTGTGGTGTGGCCATCCTCCCTGGGGTGGTGATTTCTCATTTTCTGTCTCTCTGTCTCTCAGTGAGTGCATGCACCCTGGAGCAAAAAATCTCGTAAGAAAAAAAACATCTGAATTCAGAATCTAACCAATCCTCAACACCTCCATTCAGCCAGCATGAGCCACATTCTTCTTTTATTCTGGGGAAACAACCCAGCAGCAATAATGATCAGTGAAAACCCAGGTCAGGTTTTATCACACCTTATGCACAGCTCCCAATATTTCCCATCTCATTCAGTGTAAAAGGCATGGTCTTCACCAGGCTTTATAATAACTTATAAGGCCTTTAAAAAAAAAAATCACCCTTTCCAACACCACCTTTTTACTCCTTACCACCCTCCTACTCTTCTTTTCTCTCCCTTGCTCATTTATCTCCTCACCATCCTTCCCACAAGCAACGATGCTCCTACTGTAAAGCCTTTCACGCAAGGCTGACTTGTTCTTTCTCCAGATTTCCACAGTTTATTCCAACACCTTTAGGTCTCTTCTCAAAGATCACCTTATTCTTTAGTCATTTAAAACAAAATGTCAACCCCTTTCTCCAACTGTAACATACTTCTTATCCTCCTTCCTTGCTTTTCATTTCTCTGTAGCACTTACCGCTAAGATACTACTTGACATAATCAATGGCTTATATTCTGCTTCACCCACTAGAATGCATGCTCCATGAGGCATTAATTTCCTTTCCTTCTGTGCCTCTAACACTGGGATTAGTGTTTGTCGAATGACTGAGTATCTCTGCAAGAGAACATTCTTACAGAAGAATCTGTCTATACTAATACTATTGTGTGTCTTGTTCATTTTTGTTTTTTAATATTTTTTCCTATTGGTGGATGACACATGTGATTGCCATAGAAAGAAAGAGAGAGAAGGAGAAAGCACCCTCAATTGGGCAAAGTCACATTGCAATCCCTTCTTTTCCTGTCAGGATTTTGGGCATACATGCACATGTTTTTTTGTTTGTTTATTTGTTTTTCAAACTGCCAGGGCCAGGACTCAAACCACTGTTGACCACATGGGATCCAGCTCCCTTAATCACTATGGCAAAGACTCATGCCATACTACAGTGCCTTGTAACAACACATTGTCTTGTCAATGATGTGTCTGGTGATATGGCTGTATGATATATATAAAATGCTTCATTATATATATATATATATCCAGCAGGTGGCATAGTGGCTGAGGCAGCAGACTCCTCACATGGCTGATTGTGGTTTAAGTCCCAGGGCCCAGTGACTTGAAAATCACATGCATGTGTGTGCATGCCCAAAATTCCAAGAGGAGAATGAAGGAGAAGGGATTGTGGCATGGCCATCTACCCTGGAAGGGTGATTTCTCACTTTCTGTGTCTCACTGTCTCCTTGTCTCTCTCTGCTGAGTGCACACCCCTACGGCAAAAAATATATATCTGATAGTAGTCTATGAAAATATGGGATTAAGCCAATAGGCAGAAAAGATTCTTTCACATTCTTTTACTTATTGTTTCCTTATCATCAATGTAAAAGGACTGATCTTGTCTTTAGCATACTTATAAATTTGATGGACTGTAAATATAACACCAGAAGCCACAAGGTCTCACTGATCTTGAACATGATCTATTTGTCTCTCAGGAACTTATAAAAAACATGGAATAAAACTGTCTTATATCCACTGATCTTTTCTACTGTGGCACCAAGGTCAGCCCAGCCACTCAACAAGTATTGGGTCATCAGAAGAGTCATAATGTATTTCTCTGTTTTTCTATGCAAAAATGTATCATGACTTTTTCATCAACCCCATAATTGTGAAAAGTCATTTTGGTCCTGAGCATCAAAAAAGACAAAAACCTCAGGAACCAGCAGTTAGCGTAATGGCTGTCGCTGGACTCCCACGTGGTCGACTGCGGTTCGCGTCCTGGACCCGGTGGCTTAAAACTCACGCCGGGCTCGTGTGCGTGCGTGCCCAAGATCCCGAGAGGAGAATGGAGGAGAAGGGATTGCAGCGTGACCATCCCCCCGGGGGGTGATTTCTCGCTTTCTGTCTCTATGTCTCTGTCTGTCTGGCGAGCGCACGCGCCCTATTGAAAAAAAAAAAAAAAAGACAAAAACCTCCATTTTAAAATCTCTTTTATTTTGGTGAGAGGTGATAGATCAAAAAGAAAAAAGAAAAAAGTAAACACTACAAATATTTTAGTTAATTTCAGATTCCAGTAAATACTAGGAAGATAAAAGAGAATAAATTGGTAGAAGATGACTGGAATACAGATGGGGTGGGAGTGGCTACCTTTAGCTAGGATAGTACTTGGAGAAGTGATATTTGAATTAAAGCTAAAATAAAGAGAAGGGAAAAGCAGTGGGAAGATCTGTGGCAAGGGTCTTCCAGATGAAGAAAGTGGCACAACTGAATGGCAGTGTGGTAAATGCAGAGAAAACCAGAAAAAAAAAAATTAATGTCTAAGAAATAACCAGAGACCAGACCACCTAAGGCCTTCTAGGACACAGTAAGAAATGAGGATTTTTATGTGTGATGGGAAACCATTAGGAAAGTCTAAGAAAATGATTCAGTCTAGTTCTCCAGAGATCATTCTGGCTGCTCTGTGGGATGGGATAGGGTGGTAGGAGGTGAAACTGAAGGCAGAGAGGCTTTTAGAAGGCTATGGTGGCCTCCATCTATAGGCCACGCTAGAAGTTATGCTCTTCTCCCCTCTCACAGTCTCTCAACCCTAGAGGTGGTTTGGGTTCAGTCTTTGATTGGATTTCCTACTCCAAGACTAAAATTAGCAACAGAAAAAAAAAACAAAAACCAGAAACCCTAAAAACCAAAAGGACAGGGTCTAGTACATTCCATTTCAGCCATTTCTAACCCAAAAGGTCTTTTTGGTATAAGCTGCTGGAACGCTAGTCAAAGGGTGAGGCTCACACAGCAGCCCCATCTGTTCTATACCCACTTCTCTGCTCTGGCTAGGAAACCACAGAGCCCTTCTCTGAGAGCCGCCACCTCTTTCCCCACAGACTCCGCTCCAGTTTTAGACTTCGAGGTACACAAATCTGTGAATTCTTTTCATTTGCCACCAAATACCACAATTCCTTTTAGCATATTTTACAATGTTCTCTACCCAGAATGTACTCCGTAAATATAAATAAAAATTATCATAGTGACTCTACTTAATCAGTCTATGCGTTTCTTGCAGAGTACTCATTCCGGTGTGACCTTCGGCAATATTTGCTTAACATGAGTAGCTACTCACTTAACACGTGGCCTTTTGACACTGTTTGTAAGTAACACAGGTGTCAGCAGGCACTTGTGTGTGAAAAATATTCACCCAAGAAAAATGTGCAGCAATGGCACACACATTGCTACTTGTAGAAGCTATTCTTGAAAATAATTTCGGAGACTAAAAATATCAAAGACAATATTAAAATACTTGGAACAAATTATTCCTCTCCCTATCAAGAAAAATGTAATTGTACTCTACAAGTGTATTAGCCTTCTGAAGATACGTAAAACAGGCCTGACGGGTACTTGCTTTATAAGTTAGCTCATAAACAGGGGAGGGAAGAGCACTGTAACTATTTTTAGGAAAGATTATTTATCACAGGATAGCAAATCCGAATAACAATATGCTGAGTTTAACTGCATTTGAGTAGGGGGAGCCCCTTGGCCTGGTAGTTAAGGGAACTGAAGCCCATATAAGTAACTGTGGTTTGAATCCCAGCTCAGCTCTGGTGGCTTGAAAAACATGCCGGGTATCCGTGCGTGCATGCCCAGAATCCAAGCAAAAAGGAGAAGTGAAAGAGAAGGGATTGGAGCATAATCACACCCCATTGGGGGCGCCTTCTCCCTCTCTCTCTATTTCTGGTGAACGCACTTGCCCTCTGGCAATTAAAAATAAAAGGCAACTGTATTTTTTTAAAATACAAAGTTAAAGTAAGGAGTTCTCTAAGGGGAAAAAAATTCCTTTAGAAAGGAGTGGGGAAACCTGATGGCAAAATTTGGAAAGAAGTTTTTGGATTTATACATTCTAAGAAAATACTAAGAATCTGTAAGCCTTGGAGGTGCGAGAAAGATTTTAAAACACTCTTATTTGAAGGCAGAGGAGGGAGGTCTCTTTTCCTGTTTTCCCCATCCCTTGACTATATAACTTAAAAAGCACCATGAAAATAGAATAAAATAACATTTTTTGAGCTCTCTGAGCTCACCACAAAGCACTGTGTAAATCTGGACCGTCTTATTAGTCAACCTTACCCTGAACTCTGCTCTCCAACTCTACTGGTTACCCATGGCAAAGGGAATGCTGGCTAGTGAGTGTAGGTAAATTAATCCCTACAGGGAAGGAAGTTCCAAATTCTTTATTACCATGCCGAGGTGAGAAAATCCTTTAGCCTCAATTTGCATGTGTGTCCCAAGACAGTTTGACAGCTACAGTTAAATGAGCCTCAGGTAAATAGGGAGTAAAAGATGAAGCTGTAGCCTGGTACCAATCACATCATTTCTATTTCGCGAGCACCCCAGGGCAACACACGAAGACTCCTCTTTAATGAGAGAAAGGGGGGGATATATTGGAAGAATGACTTTAATTGACAGGACACTTGTTTCTTCCATATGAATGGTGTTTTATGTGTCATTTTATAACAGGAAAGAAACAGCGATAACAGCATGGCGTTTGGGAAGATGAATTGGAAGTGAAGATAAATGATGAGCTTTGCAGTCGACGGCAAGCCAACAGATGACGAAGAATATTAAAACACTACAAGCATTTTGATGTCTATAAAATCCACAGATGGGTCTGTCTTTATCTCTCCCTCTCTTCATTTTCTCCCCCATCTACCCCTCCCTTTCTTCCTAAGACACCCTTAAGGCAGAGCTCAATATGAATTTACAATGTTGAATACTTGGCTTTATTTCAAGTAAATCCGTGAATACATAGAGCAGGGTTGGCAGCTTAGCGATTTTTTTTTAAGCTGTACCGCCACTGTTAAAGAAAATGAATAGTGTTTCTATTCGGCAGCCATGTCTCTTCCTTTATTTTCACACTGTGGATGTGCCCCTAACTTTTCAGTGCAAACAGCCATCGAGAAATGAAATACTGAGAAGTGTATTCATTTCTAAAAGCGAACACACCTGTGTATTCAAAGGCTTTCAATAATGAAATTCTCAGGGTTGTCTTTTTTTCTTTTTTTTTTTTTTATACTATCCATGTATTCTTATAAGTGGTATTTGACATCTATAAATTGTAAGCAAAATAAAAATATTGTGAAGAAGTGACCAGAAGTTGGCATGATGGCTATGTCGCTGGGCTCCCATGTAGTCGACCATGGTTCGAGTCCCAGACCCGGTGGCTTAAAACTGGGTGTGTGTGTGTGCATGCCCAAGATCCCAAGAGAAGAATGGAGGAGAAGGGATTGTGGTGTGGCCACACACCCCCCCCGGGGGGGGGGGGGGTTCTCGCTTTCTGTCTCTCTGTCTCTCTTTGTCTTTCTGGTGAGAGCACGTGCTCTATAGCAAAAACCTCTCAAAAAAAAAAAAAAACGCGAAGATGGCAAGACTTAACCAGGAAATGATTTAAAAAAGAAAAATCTTGAAGGCTTAAACTGCTACATTCAGAGAGGATGTTTATAAATTTTTCAATGGTTCTGAAAGGCCAGCTTTAGAAATTCACAGCACCAAAAAGACACATTACCACGTGAGGATAAAACGTTGTTTGAGGTTCTGTGAGACTCAATGTACTTTACCCAAAAACTAAAATATAATGGGAAGCTTCAGAATTTGGTGAGATATTCAAAGGCAAGTTATATTTAAAATAAATAGAAAATCTTAATTAAAACTAAAATAGAATACTGTTTAATGATTGATATAACTGTTCCATTCTCTTGGGTATTGACCACACTGTATTTATAAATTAAATGCCAAAATTAGAACTTACTCTTTTCCAGAATCCAAACTGATATTTAAAAGTAATCATAAAAATAGAAGTGGGGGGAAAAAAAGCAAAATTGCTAGGACTTGAAGATTTGATGTCGTAATTGTTTTATAACTTCACCCATTCTTCATATGAATTTCAGCATTAGAGAAATCATTTTGGTATTGATTATTTTAACTATTTACATCTAGTAAAACATGGAGAGAAACCACAGCACCAAAAATGAAAAATTGAGTCTGTAAAGGGACCCTTGTAGCTTACCAACAGAAGCTGTCAGGATTACTACACTATTCTATCAATTTCTATATTTTTCTATGCATTTATTTTTAAAAATCTATCATTTCTGTACCTGTGTTTCTTAATGTCATTGATTCCATTCTTCAGATTTCCCAGCCTTTCTGTTGGATTTTGCCTAAAAAAAATTTTAAAGATGATTTGTAATAATAGTATTTAAGTATATTTTAAATTAAAATTCAACATTTGTTTAGTAATTCATTCATTTATTCATTCAACAACATTCATAGACTTTCTTCCATAGATCAGAATCTGAGTATAAGTAGATAAAAAGAAACATGGCCTATTTCCTGAAGGATGCCTAAATGTTGGGCATACACACACACACACACTGCTTTAAAAGACCTATGAATGAATGCTTAAAAGAACAGGAGGGTTCAATCCTGCCAACTCTGCTGAGGGAAAAAAAATAAAAAAGAAAGAAAAACAAGGGAAAGCTTTAAGGGATCTTTTACACCTGAGCTAGAATCTTAGTGGCATGCAGGAATTTCTACTGGCAACCATCTGCTAGAGTTTACATTATAAATGTACTAAATCTTAATGCTTTAAAAGAGTTCAAATGTTCAAGAATTTTTTTAAAAAAAGGCAGTAGAAAAAATAAAGTGTAAACAAACCAAAAAAAAAAAAAATCTCGAAGTGCCTTATTCTCTGATAAATGATTGTTAACGGTTACGTAGAAATTTAGGGTTCTTTAAAATAAGACCAGAGGAGTACCTTTTTTTTAAAATGAAGATTGAAGCAGAATATTTAGTAATGCTTTAACATCACTACTGATTTTCTCTCAAAAATAACAAGATTGTAAATTAGCAACTTCTTCTTTAATGTTTGCAGTTCTATTTTTCTCTGAAACAGATAAAGATGATTCCCAAAGGAAACTTTGACAGTTCAGATCTTTTAAAAGCTGTAACTAGAGGAGCCGGCAGGTGGCGTGGTGGTTAAGGGCACTGGACTCCTACATGGCTGACGCTTGCTCTCTCTCTCTCTCTCTCTCTCTCTCTCTCTCCTCAAGTTAAAATAAATAAGTAAATAGGTAAATGAAGTTAAATTGAAAAATAATTCTTTTAAAAAAACTTTAAGTAGATATTGTGATTCTATGACATGAAGTAAACTCAAACTCCTAACCTAAACTGCAAAACAGAAAGTAACTTTCACAAAATACAATTTAGTCACATATGAAAGTACAAACTGTAACATATACCCAACTTTAAGGTGTGTAGAGACAGCAGGAGCCTTCATACTTTTTCCAATACAAAGTTGTTACAAATTGTCCGTGCTCACCTGCAAAGCCTCCTAATCAAATCCTCGGGTCTTCTTGTTATTTTTCTGGGAAAATCCATTTTTTCAATTCCTTTGAGAATCAAATTGTAGGTCATCATTTGGTCAATACCAGAAAAGGGCGGGCTAGGGAAAATCCAAAATAAACACACTAGGACCAGAGTCTGAGACACAGTTGGAAATTTCTTCCTTTATTTGTTCCTTTTCCTTCTTTGCCACTTTGTCTCTCCTTTCTTTCTTTTCTTCCTTCTTTCATTCCTTCCCTCCCTCCTTCCTCCTTATTCACTTCTCTCTCAGTTGCTCTTTTTTTCACTAGTTATTCTATGTCAAATCTGTAGATGCTATACAATCACTTTACTAATTTCATATAACCTAAAAAATAATACATACATACAGATAGCTTATCAGTTGGTGAATATCACTAAAAAGCAAAATTAAGGTAGAGACAGAGGGTAATAGAGAGAAGGTGGATTTTTTTTTTACACAGTGTGACTAAGAACAGCCACTCTCAAGTTGACAGCTGTGCAGAGATACCATCAGTGAAGAAAGGGAGTAAATGAACCACACTGTTATCTACAGGTCAAGGTTTCAAGGCAGGCAATTCAAAGACCTGGAGTCAGGAGTGGGCTGTTCTGAAACGGTGTGGTGGGCCAGCCAAGCGAGCAAGCAGGAGAGGAGCAACCGAGATGAAGATAACACCCTCTAGATCTAGTCAGTTACGGAAAGTACCTGGAAACATATTTGAATGATCTAATTTATAGCAGCCAGCAAGAGTAAACATTGTTTAACATGTGGAGAATGAACTGCAGTGGTGGTAGAGTAGGGGAGGGACTATGAGGAGAGGATGGGGGAAAAGGTCTGATGGCCTGGACTAAGACAACAGAGCTGACGGTATTAAGATGTGGTTGGATTCTGGACTTATTTGGACTATGGAGAGGACTAAATATCCCTGTTCCCCCAATACGTACATTGAAACTCTAACTCCAATAAGATGGTATTTGGCAGTGGGGTCCATGGGAGGTAATGAGGCCATGAAGGCAGAACCCTCACAATGGGATTAGTGCCTTCTAAGAAGAGGTGAAAAAGCCGGCTGTCTCTGCTACGTGAGGATACGACAAGTCTGCAGTCCCCAACTCAGAAGACCTCACTAGACCTCGGTCATGCTGGCATCATGATCTAGGACTTCCTACTTCCTAAACTGGGAAAAATAAATGTTGTTTAAGTAACCCAATTTATGATGTTTCCTTATAGCAATCCAAGCAAAGACAGGAAGTAAAGCCAATGGGATTTGCTAATGAGATGAATGTAGCATGAGGAGCAAAGAAAGGATTTAGAGTGATGCTGAAGTGATCTGGCCTCACACCTATAGCATTGAGTAATCATTTACTGAGAGAAAAAAGGCTGAGGTATAAGTGGAAGTGTAGAGCAGCTCGTAGGGAAGGGAATCAAGAGTTTTGTTTTCAGTATCCAAATGGAGATGCTAAGCAGGTCATTGGATTTGTGAGTCTGGCATTCAGGGAAGAGGCTAGGGCTGGAGTTGTGATCTGGGGAGTCTTTAGACAAGATGGATGGCCATCAGTGACTTGATGATATCTCAGGGAGTGTATGGATAGAAAAGAGCCTGAGGACTGAAGTGGCCCAATGTTGACAGGTCAGGAAGATGAGAATAATCCAGCATGGAGATGTGAGAATAAGCCACCAGTGCAGAAAAGGAGAGTGAGGGAGGTGCTAGAAACCAAGTAAAGAGAGCATTTCAAGTATTACTATGATGAATAAAAAACAGTGAGAGCTGATCACTGAATGTGGATAATACTCAAATTCATACACTTTGTTTTTAAGAACACTTTCAGGGCTGGCCCTATCGCACAGCGCTTAAATGTGGTGCAGAGGAAGTGACATCCACATGACTAACCACAGTTTAAGTCTTGGCTTGTAAAACATGCTAGGTGTATACACATGTGCCCTGGATCCTGATGGGATGGAGAATTGGAGGAAAAGGGATTGTGGTGTAACCCCATACTCTTAAGGAGTGTTTTCTCTCTCTCCCTCACTCTCTGTCTTTCATGCATGTGCATTCATATGCTTCTGACAAACATCCATCCATAAATAAATAAATAAATAAAACACTTTCATGTCTATTCTTTTTTTTTTTTTTTTTGAGAGATTTTCACTGTAGGGCGCATGCGCTCGCCAGACAGACAGAAAGAGACATAGAGACAGAAAGCGAGAAATCACCCCCCAGGGGGGATGGTCACGCCGCAATCCCTTCTCCTCCATTCTCCTCTCGGGATCTTGGGCACGCACGCACACGCGCCCGGCGTGAGTTTTAAGCCATCGGGTCCGGGACACGAACCGCGGTCGACTACGTGGGAGTCCAGCGACATAGCCATTACGCTAACTGCTGGTTCCCTCATGTCTATTCTATTATGCCATTTAATTTTAAAAACTGAACATGACTCTCATGAGCTACTCTGCTATATCTCAGTCATGCTTGAGACCTTTTGCTATTAAGAGTTCTCACTGGGAACTCTTGAAACAAAGCAGATACACCAACTTCTTAATAATCTATGTTTTACTTATAAAGTTAGAAAACAAAAGCTATAGCTATGCTATTTTCAACTAATTTACAACCACACTATGTGCGCGTGTGTGTGTTATGTGTTTGTGCATGTGTGTGTTCATGTGTGTGTGTGTTGTTGCTGTGTTGTTGCTGTTTTGTTCTTTAGTCCTTTGTACATTTTCATCTACCTACTGACACTCTAGAGTTCAGGGCATTTAAAATGAACTTCTCTCATGTCCCACCCAGAAAACCTTTTCAAAAACTATTTTTCAACTTCTTTTCAATAGCTCAAGGTCACGTGACCTTAGTGACTCCATTTTTATGGGGACTCTCTCCCTGACCCCCATTCTCATCCCTTCACTGTATGTCCCTATCTCTTGTAACAATTTCTTCTACCTGATAAAGAATGAGATGTCATTCTCCAGCCACCTACAAGAACTATCACCAATCTATTAGAAACACAGGTTACAAATTTTCAAGTGATGAAAAAAATTCTTGAAATAGAATTCCTTATAGAATACCTTGTACCCAAGACCTTCAATAACGTTTCTCTAAGAAGTACTATCAATAAATGTTTCCTTTCTTCCTTCATAATCTTAGTAAATAAACACTTGAACATGTACAGATAATATAAAACGATCTTTCTGATTTGTTTGCTCATTCCATGTGGACAAAGATACAAATGTAGCCACAGGTTACCTAATGTTGGAGGTTGTAGTGTAAAAAGTTCAAGAAGAGTCTATGAAACTCTCTTTTGTAAGCAGGTGTTGAGGCTTGTATCCCCTCCAACAAGCTCGTTCCAATATTTCTTAAACCATTCCATATTCATATTCTGAAATTAAGACTGAGAATATTTGCTAATAAAGTCTTGTTAGGATGATCAAGTCAATTAATGAGAAATGGAGGTAGAAAACCAGAAAGAAAAATGGATGTGAATCCTGTTGACATCCCTGCATTATAAGCACATATGTGGGAGTGGCACATGTGTGTAATGGAAAATGTGTCACATTTGGAGGCAGAAGACCTAGGGTCTAATTATTGATCTTAAGAAAGTAGATTTCTCACCTGATTTATAGTCAATAAAATGTCAATTATAAAATAATCATAATAATCAAATATAAAATAATCATAAAATAATTAAAATCCCTGCCTTATCTTTCAAAGAAGTTTGAAAACTAAATTATTGATAGATAATACACATGTAAGTGCTTCATAAACTGTAAAGTGGTTTACAACAGAGAAGTAATAGTACAAACAGTCAATATGTGTGTGTGTGTGTGTGTGTGTGTGTGTGTGTGTGTACGTGTGTACGTGCTTTAAGTATTTGGGATCCTGGATTCAGGATTAATTAATATAATCCTTTAATCTCTCCAGGAGTGACAATTCAATTTCAGCTGCTAAAATCCTTGCTGAGTGGTCTTGTCTCCATTCATTAACACCTCCAGAAAGGAGTTGACAAGGAGATTAAAATTTAAATCCAGCAATGTGGCTTTCTTTTAGCATTTCTGGTAAATGATATGAGAAGATAGAAGAACCTGGTTAAGTTTATTAATTGGTCAATGGACTCAACTAAAATTAGAATCACTATTTTCTCAATTATGAAAAAAAAGGAGGAAAGAATAATAAGCTCATAATTTTTCATTCCTTCTTTTATTTTTTAGGATGGATAATCAAAACCTTCACATATATAATATTTTATCTGTGATAAGAGGGCTTGCCATTTTAGGTAAAGCATAGCAGTTGTACACTCCTTTCCTTCCGTTTCCACCTATTTTCTCCATGTTCCAAACTAGCCCACTCATTGTATTCAAAACAACATAAAGAGAGGAAGGCATCATACTTCATCAAAAATATTTACCAAATGTTAAATTCACAAATTATGTACTTTATCTTTTTAAGCTATTATTTTGCACTTCTATGGGGGAGGGGCTTCAAAAGCTCATGGAAAAATAGAATTAAAGTCCAAATTTATTTTGGCAGGAAAAAAGCGAAATCCATACTCATTTTCCATGAAGCTCTTGAAGAACCCTCATATAAAGAAGAAAGAGAACACAAGTTGAAGGTACATACTTGCCGGTTAGGAGCTCATACACCAGAATTCCCAGTGACCAGAAATCCACGCTGAAGTCATGTCCTTTGTTGAGAATGACTTCAGGGGCTACATACTCTGGAGTCCCACAGAACGTCCATGTTTTCTGTCCAGATCCTATTTTCTTAGCAAATCCAAAGTCTACCTGGAAAAGAATGTCAAAGAAATAATCAGAGACCATGAAACTGACCGCAACACTCAGACTTCTCTTTAAGTCTCTCTGATTTCCCAAATCTTCTTCCTATATCCTACTCTTCCCTTCATGCCTCACACATACATACACCTATAATGACGAGCTCTCTCAGATATTCTTCATAAGATCAGGAATATCTCTAGTCATACTGGAGAAAGTTTCATGCACACACCTTTACCCTTATGACCACTAGAGGCTAAGAGGAAGGGTCTAGCTGAAGAGAGCCACAACAATAAATTTGAAGCTCGGCCCAAGCAGGACTAAAACTATGCTCAATTCACTAATGGTATTCATTAGGATTCTCTTCTTAATGGACCCCTGTGCATTTAAAGCTCCACCATGGAAGTAAAAAATAATAACAAAACTGAGAGCTTGGGAAAAAAATTACTGCTGAGAAGAAAAGTAGCTTACAACTCTGGATAGTCTTTTCTTTTCATGAATTAATTCATTTATTTTAATTGGACCACAGAGAGAGAGAGAGAGAAAGTGAGAATGCAAGCCATGAGCTCTGGGACTCAAACCACAGACGGCCATGTGGGAGCCAGCACCCTTGTAACCACCATGCCACCTGTCGGCCCCAACTCTGGATAGTCTTAACATTACCATAGTCCCTCCTATGGTCAACTGCAATATGGAAATATTATTAATAAGTGGAAAATTCCAGAATTAAACAACTTATAAGTTTTAAATAACTTTCATTACAATATATTATTATTTTTTGCATGTTATTAGTTATTGTTATTAATCTTTTACATGTCAAACTTATAAATTAACTTTATCATAGGAATATATGTATAGCAGAAAACATCTGCAGGATTTGGTTCTAACTGCAGTCTCAGGCATCTGTGGAATGTCTTGGAATCACTCCTCTGTGGGTGAGAGGGGATTACTGTATGTATAAGGTCTGCTCCTGTACATTTTGTTAGTCCAAAGCAAAGCCATTGCAGTTTGGGTTGGGCTCTGTACACTGACAGTCTCTTTCAGGGAGGTGGGTGGTAGATGCAGCTACATTAACTTATTTATTTTGAAAACATACATTTGGCACCCCCACACATACACACTGGTTGGACTTGGTGCTGAGCCTATAGAAACGGAGATGACTATGAGAAGCTCAGAGTCCTGAGAAAGGGTACACATACATGACTAATTTTAGAGCATGTCAAGTAAAAACTCAAGAGAGCCAAAAGACATATATTTCTAGAACATTAGAGAGAGAAGAGTGGAGAAGATGTTATTAAGCAGTGACATCTGAACTTGGCTGAAATGGAGGATTAGGAACTCTCTCAGGGAAATGAATCAGTGCTACTCTCCCGTGTCTTTTCAGAATAGACCTCTGCTTCTCTGAGACTTTATTCAATGAACTCTGTACACAGAATAGACAGGAAAGCACGCTGGAGCTGCAGAGGGCCCCTGCATCGAATCGAGGCAGTGTATGTGATTGAAGTCCTGCCCTGAAAAGCAGTTGGTTTCCTTCCATGTGGGTATTTAACATGTACTTTTCGTCTCCGATATACCCAGACATGATTTTAACAAAACCACCTCCCACCCCCATCAAGTAAATAGGCACACAAATTGTTCTTGGGCTTCAACATGCACATTTTAATAGCTTTATTATGCATGAATGATCTCAATAATACAGCAATAAGCTTGGCTAAAAAGCCAAATAAACAAAGTTAACATATCTAAATAAGCCCTCACCTAAAAACATATGTGCCAGTGAACTACAAAATCTATTTATTCATTTGAACTCTTTATTCAAATATTAATACTTAAATTTTTTTTACCTTAAATCTTTTTTTAAAAGAATTCTTTCATTTAACTTTATTTTTATTTATTTATTTATTTTAATTTGACCAGAGAGAGACAGAGAGACAGAGAGAGAGAGAGGGAAAGTGAGAAAGCAAGCCACCATGTCTGGGACTCAAACCACAGTCTGCCATGTGGGAGTCCAGCACCCTTAACCACCATGCCACCTACCAGCCCCTTAAATAAATCTCTGAAAACTTAACTTTCTTATCAACATTTTTTAGTATTTATCATACAACGGCAAAGATCTCCTTATTGGAAAACTGGAATATAAACAACCTAATTTGAAGTGGGCTTTTCTATTTTCTTTTATCTGCATAGAATGACTCACAAAGATGATATCTAAGAGATACCTGGGGATATTATGAAATTAAAATTTGTAACCAGCTGAGATTAGCACATAGACTTATTCTTCAGAGAAAGAAATAATATGGAAATTCTAGCAAATTTTATAAAGACTGAAATTTAAGAGGCAAGAAAGCAATGCTTATGACTGTATTCATATGCTCACATATGGAAATATTATATTTTGTTGGCTTATAACAGCCTTTCGATTCACTTTTTTATTGCCTTTAAGTTTTCTTTTTAAGGATGACTGGAAGTTCATTAACTATTTAGGAGAGTTTTTTCCTAGCTCTGAGAGTGGTATATTTTAGTTTAAATTGCTGGTTTTGCTTTTGTAATATTTGCATATTAGCCCAAAGAGATGACAATAATCATGCTAAAAGTTTAAGAATTATGAAACTGTATCACTTTCTTTCTTTCCCTTTTTCGATCACTTCAACGTTAGTCTAATCCATTTGGCCAGAGGAAATTGACACACAGAGCTATCAAAAGTCATGTGTCTAATAGAAGAAGTCGCAGATCTTTATGTCAAGTTGGATATTTTCTACACAAATCAAGCCTCCTCTCTCTCATACCACCATGGATCCAACCACAAAGACTTCTTTTACTTCATCCTTTTAGGCAACACAAAAATAAGGCTCTTCACTGGTACATTCAGTGAGTATTTATTTATCAACTGCAGGTACCAAAAACCCAGATATAGACAAAGACATTCAAATGAAGAGACAGAGAGCATAAAATACAATATTTCATGTGATCGAGTCCAACAGACATAATCTATGAAAGAATATACAACACAGATGGGTACAGAGAGGAGCATGAATTGTGCTTTTAATAGGCGACTAGGAAGAGCCTCTGAGAAGGTAACATTTGAATGAAATAAGAGAGAGCTCTGTAAAAAGAGGAGCAAGGGTGATGCTGCCAGAAGAAAGAGTGAATGCAAGGAGTCCGAGATGGGAACACGCGTGGAAGTTCAAGGATGGGCAAGAAGGCCTGTGTGGTGGGGCTATAATGTGTGAGGGAGAGAGATGCAAGTGAGGGCAGATCAGGGAATGAATTTGTGAGCCATACTAAGAACGTGAGTTTGTTTGTTTGTTTTCCTCAAGAAGTCACAGTGGTTCGGGACCAGCAGTTAGCGTAATGGCTACGTGCTGGACTCCCACGTAGTTGACTGCGGTTCGTGTCCCGGACCCGGTGGCTTAAAACTCACGCCGGGCGTGTGTGCGTGCGTGCCCAAGATCCCGAGAGGAGAATGGAGGAGAAGGGATTGTGGCGTGACCATCCCCCCTGGGGGGTGATTTCTCGCTTTCTGTCTCTCTGTCTCTGTCTGGTGAGGGCATGCGCCCTATAGCAAAAATCTCTTAAAAAAATAAGTCATATAGTGCTTTAAGAGAAAGGATGTTATATGACCTGATTTACGTTTCAAAGGTATCATTTTCTGGGACCAGCAGATGGTATAATGGTGTTGTCCACTGCAGTTCGAATCCCAGACCCAGTGGCTTAAAACTCACGCCAGGCACATGTGCATACATGCCCAAAATCCCTACAGGAGAATGGAGAAGAAGGGATTGCAGTGTGCCCATCACCCTGGGGGGTGATTTCTCACTTTCTGTCTCTCTGTCTCTCTGGTGAGTGCACACACCCTGTAGCAAAAATCTCTTTCTCTCAAAAAATATCATTTTGAAAGACAAGAAAATAAATGTTTTGTTTTGTTTCTTTTCCCCCAAAAAATTCTATGAGCAAAACTGAGCTTTCACGAAGAATCTCTGGAGAAGCAGTAGTACACATGTTTTTCCCTTATCTCCATTCAACTCCCATTACTAGAGATGGCTTACATTATGTTCAAAGTTTCAAAACACCAAGTCTCCAAAGATTTTTAATAAACTGGAAGGATTTAAGAGCCTTCTAAATCTGCCATGATGTTTGCACTATTCAGAACAGAAAAATTAGCCTTGTGGCTTTCTGGACTTGGTGTCCAGTAAGTATGAGCTTTTTCCCAGAAGTTTCTCTCTGGGTCAGTAAATTTGTCAGATATTGGTTCTCTTGGTCACATAAAAATGGACACAAAATGACTGGTCTAATTAAGCCAGATGATTCACAGAGACATAACATTCCAAAATATACTTATGTGGCATTTTTAAGGGCACTGATTTTGCCCAAGTCTAGACAAGGGTAAAATGGAATCTGTTTATCCTGTCGGCCAACAACCAAAGTTGACTGAATGTGCCTCTGATACTAGCACCTGTCCACTGGAACGGGCGACAATGAAAGGTTTCCATCAAGTAGAAGTGAGTCAAAGAAGCTAAGATATGGGGTAGAGGAGTCTTTTATAGCAACAACCCATTCTTTATGGGGGTGTGGTGATTCAGCTGAAATATTTAGAGAATTCAGTAGAAAGAAGCAGGAAGAAGGAAAGCTTTGTGTCCAGAAGGACAACTGGAAAAATCCTTTGAGGCTCATCTTGGATGCTCCACCTCTTTGGCAGCTTAATTGAACCACAGAACCAATCCCTTTCTCCTGCAAAGTCCTTCATCACTGTGTATGCACCACAATTACATCCTCAATGGCAGCACTATCTAATCATGTGTAAATAAATCTTACTCCTCCAGAAGAGGCATTATGTCCTACTCATTCCGCTACCCTATACCATGTGTAAGGTTTAGTGAATAAAATGGAAGAGATAACCATTAATACCAGTTTCAGTAACATATATTGAAGTCTAGGAAGGTCAAGGATACTTGCATAAAATGAAATTTTAATCGGACTTTTTTTTTAAACTTTAATTACTGAGAGTACATGTA